ACAAACCACAGTATGGCAAATTCTGTTTGTCTGTCATCAGACAAATAGTATTCAAGTACCAAGGAAGAACACCTGCAATTGACCGCCCACCAAATTATCAACAACTACCTGCTCATCTGAAGCATGGTGATCACTTCCTGGTAAAACTGCCTGCTACTGCTTTCAAGAAAAAGGCTCAGAAGAGGTGTTACGTCTGTGCACACACACAAAAAAACACCCACAACAATGCAGAGACGCTCGTTTTATGTGTGAGAAGTGTAAAACACAACTGTACATGACACCATGTTTCAAAGACTTCCACAGGCTGCAGAACTTCTAGAAACATTCCCTGTGACTGTATATGTGTATATAAAATACAGAAAAATAGTAATAAACAACATTTCATAGCATTTGTTTGTGTAAATATTTTCTATAAACAAAATAATGACAACAGTGTTTACGCCCTTATTGTGTAGTATTGAAAAAGAAATAACTTATAAAATACTGATCATATTGGTCTCAAGAGGCCATAAAAGTTACTCAGAAAAAGAAAAATTGAAAAATAATTGAAAATAGTACATAAAAAAGTAAATAGAAAAATACCGGGTGACGGCAGTCGGCGATGTTACCATATGTTGTTCAATTTTGGCAAATTTCACGCCTCCATATCTCGGTAAGTATTGACGTTAAAATTTTTTGTTTGGCCTATAATGTTTAGAAAAAAAAACTATTTTTTCATAAGAAAAAATATTTTTTTTTTTTTTGAAATTTGGCCGACCCTGAGAACGAGTTTCGGAGAGGGCCTGTCGACCCTCAAAGGGTTAAAAATAAATAGGAAAAGAATATGGAATATTATTGTCCCAGAATGCACACACACTGCAAATACTGGTGTCTATGGAAAAACTGCTTAATTATCAATTTCTCCAGAATGTATCCTGGTTGTTAAGCAGGGAATTACTGTATACCAGCTAGCATAATATAAGAAATAAATATATCCAATTTCCTTAGAAACTGGACATAAATATACAAAAAAATTACAAAGAAATATGCTAAAAAGAGATAATATAACTGATAAAATTGATAAAATATAGCTGTGTAAAAAATATTTAAAGTTAAAAAAGCATAGAATATGATATTCAATTAGAAAGAGAATAAGATTAATACAACAGAAAAATAAAACATCATGGAATACATGCCAATAAGGACAGAACAGTACCAATGAATGTGTCTCCATTATGTTGAAATTTTCTTGGGTAAAGGAAGTTTGAATAAGTAATACTTATGCAGTGGGGAAGGCCTATAAAATATGAGGAATGATCAGTAAGTTTCACGACTGATTTTACTGTAACAACATTAAGTGTCAGAAAAGGAAACAAATGCATGTCCACATTCATACTTACACACCGAGAGCAGTGAGGAAAGTGGTAGTAAAAACAGGAAGTAATAAAAATACTGTTCAATTGAGTTCTAATACTATAAAGCAGCAACAGATAGAGAGATCTATACATAAGAGGGTACTGGTTTACAGATCTAGATGTGCAGATGCACCAGTGTTTAAGATATGGCAAACAATGGGTGAGAGTTAAGACACAACGGGTTTCTACAAGTCACACTCAGACCCTTCCAAGAGCAAAGGATGAGTGTTAAAATCTCCTAGTAAAAGGAGTGGCATAAGGAAGGATAAAATAAAAAAGTGTATATTAGTTAAAGCTAATGGGCATGAATGGAAGAAATACAAAGAGACGATTATGCACCACCTGTTCAAAAAGACACAAGCTGCAGTACAGTGGAGTATGAATGGAAATTTTTTAATACACGACATTGTTGTGCACAAGAATTATGTTTTAACTGTATAATTATCAGGATGAGGGGTCTAATGATTGTAAACGAGCATGGCCCAAGATAAGTAATCCAACTGTATTAAGTATTTCAAGGTCTTGAGGACAAAAGCATACAGGAAGAAACCTAGGAAACCAACATTTGGAATTCTTTTTGATTTTCCCTGTATCCTCTGACATTCTGTTGCACAAATGACATTATTACTTACTAGTAATACAGCAGTAGAGGCATGTAAGGGGTGGGGTAGAGACTGCAGTGGTCGGTAAAGTTGACATGAGGTGTAGTAATAAGTGATTTGTGTGTTGTGAGAAGTTGTGCATGTTAGTTGCATGTATAGATGGTAAAATAGAATGAGAGTCATTCAAGTTCAATCTAAGGGAAGCACAGACAATTCCTTAGATTACAAGCCCCTCACCAGCACCAAGGAGTCTTCCATGAGAGAAGGAAGGGGATAAGAGATCCAACACCTCAGATCAAGAGCTCCTTCAACCCAGCAAAAAACAAATCCACCCTATTTACCCCTTGAAGGAGAGGGACTAGTACAAATTGATCCACTAGGTCAGACAAACAACCAAGTATTTATACACAACTGTGTTGTAGTGCTTAGGAACAATACTGTGAAAGGAACCCAGTTTGAGTGTTTTGATCTTAAGTAATAGATTCTTGATGCCCAAAGCCCTCGTCATTAACATCCTATGTCACAAAGGATTGCACAGTCCTATTAAGTTTACAGCTCCAAAGATGTTATATTCTTTCAGGGAAATTGTCCCAAGAAACAATGATATACTCTTAAAAAAAAAATTCTGATCTGCAGTCCATAGTTTTCATAAACACAAGTACAGTATATTTAGTCTTAAAACTTCTTGGTCACACCTCTTACAGAGAGATTGCAAGAAAATACAGATGCTACACAGATGAGTATTTACTGTGTTTAAAGACAAAAAAAATAGGAGTATGTTAGTATTTATGTATTATATATACAAAACTACTCATGTTCATAACATCAACTTAATCAGTATTGACAAAAAATGAGAATTAAATGCAAGGAAAACACAGCATTCACATTTAGAACAAATAAAATGTGCAATTTTTGCTTATGCTTACATACTCAAAGGTGCTGGTGAGAATGCTATCATTAACACTGAATAAAAAACGAACGAGTGGAAAATGCATTATAATGTGCATGGAAAAATTTCAGAACACATGGTACATACTATCAAAATATATTCTGGCAAAAATATTATGTATATACCTAGAAAATTTCCAAAAATTGTCCCATAGTCATAATAAATACACCATAGAGAGTTTAGATTCTACATCAGCCTGGGTTTGACGAATAATTTACATCCTAAAAAATTTTTAAACTTAATAAACTTTGCCTTAAGATTTACAAATTTCTGCTAAATACTGCATTAAACTTATTCAGATGTATTTATTGCCATTATTGACCTCACTGTTGTACCACAAGAGTAAAACAATAAAGGTTACAGCTGTTCAGAGATTCTCAATACACATGGCCAAGATAACAATAAAGTATACTACTGCATCCTGCATTATTTTTTAATAAAGAATGCCACTGCACCTTGTGTCACTTTTTAATAATGAATACCATGCATATTCATATTTAAATGTCATAAATAACAGTTATAAATTCTATTGCTACATCATTAGAATTCCTGAGATATAAAATATGCACTAAGTTTAATAAACTATATCAATAGTTCAGATAGGCATAGAGATCTATCTACTCTGTTTCAAGTCAATGATATATTACTAAAAACTGCTATAGTGCACGGTTATTCAATATTGTTTATTAGTTTTTCTTGTCTACAAAATGGGTAAAGCTTAACTCTGAGCACTAATAGATTCGGCACTGAATACTGCTTGTTAAACAATGACGGTGACTACAAAAGCTGCTCAAGCATTGAAGGATCACATTAAGCCACCTCAAACCACAATAAGCCATCACACTACAATAAAGCCAGCAATCTCAGGGCTATGTGAAAAAAGTGTGTGCAAACAACAGATTAGCAACTCCCATCTCTAGTATAATACAAATACCAATTTAGATATTTATTATTATATACGACAGTTGCCAACCTTCCCTAATATACCTATAGAGGCTACATTAATAGTGAGTTTCTCTAAAGAATAACTTTGATGCAGTGTGAACTTTATTTTGAGAAATGGTGAATCAATTATCCTTCCTTTTCCTCAAAAATTTTTTTTTGGGGATAAATATGACTAGTAACAAATATGAATCACCTGAGGGCAATGCATATTTGTTACATCTGATAACTTTCCCAAATTTTAATCTAATATACTAATATGTAATGTATAATTAATTTCAGAAACCACATTAGGTGGAAAAATAAACACATAAGCAGTATAATGTGATGCTTTATTGACAATGTTTCACCCACACAGTAGACTTTATCAAGTCACAAACAGATCTGTTTGTGACCTGATAAAGTCACGAAGAGATAAAGTCACATCTGTTTGCGAAAAACATTTGGGTAAAACATTGTCAATAAAGGATCACACTATACTGCTCATGTGTTTATTTTCCATTGTGTCGGTATTGTATACCATTTATTTCCAACCACATTAGGTGTTCCATAAAAAGCTTTAATTTGTAATCAAAATAAAAGTGTAAATGTAAATTTGAAATGGAGATAGAGTAAGAGAGATAGAGAGACACAAAAAAGAGGAACACATTTAATGCAGAATCCGAGTAACAAAAATATTTTATTTAATATTAACCCTTAAACTGTCCAAACGTAGATCTATGTTCGCACTCGTAGTGCTCCGAACATAGATCTACGTCCAATTTTACATTCTTTATGTAAAAAAACGTAGATCTACGTTCGGAGGACTACGCGCGCAAACGTAGATCTACGTTTGGACAGTTTAAGGGTTAAAAGCATTTAAGTCAGCAACTGGCACTTTTTATGCAATAAAATATGTTAGCGAAATTAATGAACATACTGAAACGTCACAAATAAATTTATCTCTGCTTTCTCCATCTCTATTACAGTATTAGGTATATTCCCTAACAAGACCCAAATTAACATGTCAACACATGTGAAGATAGTGTTGTGATATAAGCAAACTACTGGATATTTATATATACAGAGAGAGAGAGCAAAAGAGGTGACCGAGAGAAAGAGTGTGGCAATCACCTCACACGCGTCAGGTTGCAGGATCGTATATCCATCACCGCTAACAGCCGCCCCAACAGCATACGCCACACTGGCTCCGCTCCAGCCCTGCGGCACACGCTCATGCAGTAGAGTTCATTTTCCGTTCACATATATAGGAAAACAGTGTGTCTCATGGATATTCCCAGGTAGATTTAAATGAAGTATACACAAAATCTCAATTTTAATAGACAATGAAAAGTTAAGAAGTTGCATGGAATTTCATGTGAATTTTTTCCTATCAGAAATGTGAGGAAATAAACTCTACCCCAGCTTGACACAGCAATAAAAATCTAGGTTATTTGGAAAAAAGAGGTCTACACGTGCCAGGCTGAGCCAATGCAACTTACCACACACCAGATTAATCAGTACTGTATCTTATTGGGGGTCACTCTTCCCATGAGTCAAGTGTTATCAAAGAAAGAAAAGTAAGATAATTAAGATGACTTGCAAATGAGTTAATCCTTTTCCATAGGCTCTGTGGTAATATGCAACTCCATTAATTTTTAGTATTAAAAGTTTTAAATAAAGAAGAAATATTAATCTGAGACAACATGTAATACATGAGCAATTCCTTATTTCAACTCATGCTTTATACTACTGTACTATAGTATTTTATTGCTCTACTGTAGACATGCCAGTCATTCAAGTAATTTCTCACATCTTCCATGTCAGAAAATAGTGACTAAATTAGAAAGAAAACCTCTGGTAAATTCAGAATTATGGCCAATAACTATGATATGTAAATATCTCAGCATTTACCTAACACACTTCATCTAGATACTATGTAAAAGTCTTGTATCTCTGAGCCACACCCAAATGTTAACTTACAATGGTATAGTATAAGCAAAAGGTCTCTATGCCTTCCCAATCTCAATATCAGATGGCAAATTACAGCTCCATGATCACATGCAAAGTATAATTTCAGACATGTATGCAACAATCACAACCTGAAAATGTTTGGAAAAAGTGAAACAAATAACAATTACATGGGAACAACTATAACATGCAATTCAGAAGATTGTCAATTGGGGAGGGTTAAATAATCCTTATATAGTGATAGTATCATGCTATTACAAAGCATGTATAGATAAAGAGTAATGGGGAATGGAACACAACAAAATTTATAGGAAATATTAATCACATCACTGCCTACTTCCAATTCAAAATTTTGAATTTAATTACCTGCAAGCAACCTAACAAGTAAAACCCCCACACTGAAATACATACACTCATCTAAGAATTTACTGTTCAACTGCTACTGGTTAAAAAATATATTAACAAAGAAGGATTACCAAAAAGCAAAATGTGAAGGAGGATTATTTGTAGCAGAAAAAATTAAGCTTTACCAAGAATTAAAACAAAGTATGATAATAATTAGCTAAAGTCTCAATGTAAATAATTAGTGTAAGCCTCAAAATGAAGATCTGTTGCAACCTGCCATGTCTCAGGAGAGTATAATACTACTACTACCAGGTTCAATCAATAAGGATAACAAATACATGTTTCAGTAGTGCATTTTTATAAAAATAGTGTTTAACATTGAATATAAGATACAATTCCTAACTAATAACTGTATATTTGTACATATATTTCTGCATCTATATAGATGAGCAACACAGATATAACACATTCAATGGATTTCTTAATATCTTGCATTATTACATTAGTAGACTGCAGAAGATTAAGGATTGTTAATTAATAAAAGAGAACAGTTTGGAGGGGTATGTTGTGTATCTTTATACATATATGCTTCTAAACTGTTGTATTCTGAGCACCTCTGCAAAAACAGTGATAAGGTGTGAGTGTGGTGAAAGTGTTGAATGATGATGAAAGCATTTTCTTTTTGGGGATTTTCTTTCTTTTTTGGGTCACCCTGCCTCGGTGGGAGACAGCCGACTTGTTGAGAAAAAAAAAAAAAAAAAAAAAAAAAAAAAAAAAAAAAACAAGGAAAATTATAAGTGAAGAAAAAATAGGTGTGTTTAGCAGCATGAAAAAAAGCAAAGAACAGCTATGGTCATAAAGGATAAAATAAAGTGCATTAACTTATGGAAATAATGTTTTAGGAAGATTAAAGAAACGGGGAGGAAACACTTGTACAAATGTGAATAATTCATATGTATTATTATGTGACACTTCAAGCTTTTTCTCAATTATTCTTGAGTGCAGCAGGAAAAAAAAAGTGTGATTCAAAGCTGAAGCTTTTCAAGACTGTGAATTTGTAACACTAAAATATGTTTTACTAATGTTGGTAGTGTAACAGACACCAGCCAATGGAAATGGAGACACTAACAACTACTACCACCACCTCTTCCTGCCTATATATAGCCGTCCTGCTCCACTTCTGGTTAGTGTGACTTTGTAAATGGTCCAAGTCGGACCGAAACGTCGTCGTAAGCTTCTCTCTTTTATGTGCGGGTTATTTGTGTATCGTTCCAGTCACAGTATTGTGCCTTTTTTTGTTATTTAACTTGGAGACATAAATGAAACTAGAAAAAGGGGATTGTATGTTTCAGCCTCATCTTTGAAGTGGGCCTCCGATGGAGACCAAAATATATAGCTTCCTTTCTTTCTTTCTTTTTTCATTTAAGTTTCTGAGTGGGTTCTACATTACTATGTTATATTAAGTATACTTTAGGATACACTATATATCAAAGATTAAAAATAATCCCGAGTCTGAATAGCAAAAGAAATAATCTAACCCAATATTAACTCATCAATGAATAGCTAAATATTAACATACAAAAAATGACTTCTGAATTAAGAGTGCATAGATATTAAAGATATTAACCCTTTCAGGGTTGGTACCGTACTAGTATGTCTTATGCGCCAGGGTTGGTGTTGTACTAGAACGCATAAATTCTAGCGCCATCAAATCAAGCAGGAAAAGGCTGGTAGGCTTAGATGTGAAAGAATGGGTCTGTGTGGTCAGTGTGCACAGTATAAAAAAAAAATCCTGCAGCATACAGTGCATACTGAGAAAAAAAAAGCTCTGTCTGTGTTTTTGGTTCAAAAAGCGACTTTGCAGTCTATTTTCGTATGGTATTTATGGTTGTATTCTCATTTTCTTCATCTCATGTGATAGAATGGAGGACATATTACAGAAATAGAAATGATTTTGACTGGCTTCACGATGACAAGTACAGTGGAACCTTGACTTACAAGTGCCCCAACGTACGTGTTTTTTGAGATACGAGCTGTCCCTGGGTCAATTTTTTTCTCTGAGTTACGAGCCAACATTTGAGTTACGAGCCTGCTACCCCATCTGTGCAAAAGCTGAACACCTCGCTTGTTTATCTATGATTTCATGCTCTAATTCCATGGAAATCATCCTCTTTTTCTTCTCAGCATTGTCCTTTACACTTACTTTCTTAGGACCCATGCTTAGAAAAACTAAATTTGGCCAAATGACTGTAAGCAAAGCATTAGAGAACTGCTCCCACAGTGCGGTAAACAGTGCACTAAGTTGGCGGCGTTAATTATAATAATAATAATAATAATAATAATAATAATAATAATAATAATAATGATAATTATTATTATTAGTTATTATTATTATTATTTTTATTATTAATTTAGGTAACTAGAACACAGATCCAATTCCCTAGATCAAGAGCCTCTCACCTGCGTCAAGGTTCCTCGACGCTGGCGAGGGGCTCTTGATCTAGAGAATTGGAGCTGTGCTCCAGTTACCTAAATCAATAAAAATAATAATAATAATTTTTGTTATTATAATAATAATGATAGAGCTTCAGGGGGCTGTAGGGCAATTTTCCGCGCGCGCTCACCGAAAAATCGAAAAAATATGGAAATTGAGTTATATATACTGAAAAATAGCTCAACTCTTTGGCAACACAATGGTACCAGAATGAATGTTCTACGACGTTTCTACAAGAAATTATAGCCATTTATATCAGGTATGGTGACGGCGATGTTGGTAGCGAGTCTGCTCACGGCCCATATATATTTTGGAAATTTTTCCTTGTTTTTTATCGCTTTTTCTTGCATTATACTTTCTAATATAATAACTGACTACTTGGCATCATAAAACTGAAGGCGGAGCTTATCCCTAGATTTAGCAACAGTCATTAATCATATCAAGATGCGCGGAAGGGTTGCCGCGCCAGGATAAATCACTCATTATTACGCTTATATCAGCTTATATATCAACTCTACAGCTTATTTTTCTATCAGAATTGATCTAATATGATATAATAAACACTCTAAATAACATACAAACATGTTATATACTCTAGACTGAATAAAATAGGCCATAATATGACGAAAGATTATCGGGAATATTTCCATAAATATTGAGCTACTCCTCTCCAGGTCGTATTCTTTAGTCTGCGAGTAAGAGAAAACGGTGTTTTGAAGAGGCTAACTGCACTAGAACATCAGTTTACTAAGAAATACACCCAAACAAACGCGATTTTCGCGAAAATTTTTTTTTTTTTTTTGGAGACGGGGGCCGGCCGGCGCTCCCGGCCGATATCTCGGAAGTAACTTATTCAACAATTGTTCAACTTTCTCGCTTTATTACTGAATTAAATGGAATATAATACTCACAAAAGTTGTAGAATAATGATTTCTCTAATTTTCTGTGAACAAATTTTGGAAATATTCCAAATACTTTGGGAGTTATGTGGGAGTAAAGGGCAGATTTTTTTGCAATATTCCAGGAACTAACAAACTTTATTTTTTTGTGAAATAAAGAAACGTTCATTTAAAGAAAAGTGGTCACAGAAAATAAGAATAAGCATTGTTCTCTCGGCACCAAGTGTCCAAACAACCTCACGTAGTCCCATATAGGATAAAAGTTTAACACTATGGCATTTTCAGTAAATCAGTCATTTCTCAGTTGTTGTTTGAGGTATATTTTTGATAAATATTTTCAAGAAAGAGTGAAACGACTTTGTCTTGTGTACCAAAACTGGAGAAAATCGGACAGTAAACAACAGAGTTACAGATTTTGCCCGACGGCCCCCTTCAGTTCCCTAAATTAATAATAATAATAATAATAATAACATTAATAATAATAATAACAATACATATGTAATAATAATTCA